GATCCGAGATTCGTTGACCAGATTCAAGACTCCATTCACCCCTCTTCTCCAACTTGTAATACATGCATAAGTGACAGTAATCTTTCAAAACCATAAGAAATTTCTGGAATGCATTTTATTTCTGAATTCAAGAATGCTTGAAATAACATTGACACCCAACACAAATCGAAGATCAACCAGACAAGCAAAACGAAGAAACAATATCAAGCTTTCACTTAAAGGGCTGAGTACAAACTGGAAGCAGGAACTGCAAGCAGGACAGGGTCCCATCCCATTAGGTATATAATATTGTGAAGAAAGAGCTTCTAAATCTTTCTTTTTCAATATCAACATACCATTTCCTGAGCTGTAAGAGGAGCAGGGCAAACTACAGTACCTTATTCGAACCCACTGTAAAAGCTATGTACCCAGGGCGATATATATATTTCTGATCTCCTTGACCCAGTCTGCCCATTCCTGTGGCTTCCAGTAGGTATAGACCAAAAAGTTATCATCACAGACAGAAGAATTTTTCAGGCATGAGGCACAATTCACCTTAAAAACAATTCACCAGAAGTGAAATCACACAACAGTTGAAGGCACAGCATGTATGCAAGCAATGTCATTATTTGAAGTGTACCATTGTTCAAAATGAAGTCATGGCAGATCAACATGATAGGAGAAACATGACAGGAAAGGAGGCATAGTGGTTTCTGAAGGAAACAAATTTCAACAACTGAGGATACATTTTTTGGAAACATCTCAAAGAGTAAATAACTAAGACTAGTGAAAAGCTCCCTAACAATGTGGAAAGATCAGTGAAAAGGTCCCTAACAGAAAGCAAAGATTGATGAAAGGCACCCTAATAGTGTGTTCACATTAACAAGCATAAATCTTTTTGAAGGTGGTGAAGCCAGTATGGATGCTCCTTTACCTTTCCCCATCCAATGCAAGACAATCACCACTTGCTAAGTCCTATTCTGATCCCCTCATATGAGAAACTGCAGGAGTTTCTCAAAATGCCCCAAAATAAATAAACTATCATATGACAGATTAAAATTATACAATAAGATGACCCCATGGATACACATGATAAAGTTAGCCACAGGGGAAAATTTTCCTCCCATGAAAATGAACCTTTCTTGACGAAACAATGGAATTCTACAGGGTATGGCAAAAAAGACCCCTGACTTTAAACCAGAAAAATTTCTGCACTTACTGCTGCTACTTTCATGAAACTTGCACCCTGCATAAGGTGATTTGTCAAACTCTATTAGCTGCCCACAGATTTTGAGAAGAGAATGCAAATTTTTTCCATTCACTTTAGGATAACACAGTACAGCAAGCCTGTTTGATTTCATTTCTGCTGGCAGGAAGCATAAACAGCCCTTGAACATCATGGACAACTCCCATGTTGTTGGGGTGAAGATAAGCTACTATCATAAATGGGTACTTTTGCAGTCAGGCAAATGTAATGATAAAAGCAAAGCATTTTTGACCAGCATCAGACCATATCCTGAGTCTAGCTCATCAGATGAAGGGTTTGATGAGCTAGATTCAGGACAGTTCTCCCAGAACAACATTGGGTTGGTGCCAGTTTGACTGAAAAGATACAAGTGAACTTGCCTGTGGCATACTGAAGGAGTGGAACACAAGAGAGATGCTGTATAAACAAGAACAGCATGACTGCCAAATCAAACAGGCAGAGCAGCTGGACACTCAGCAAGAAGAAAATGAGTTGAGGCATTCCTTAGATGTGATGCAATACTAAAAGAGTAAAAGAAATTAGGTAGGACTTCATTTGCAACAACTTAAAAGTCTACAACCATACAGTAAAGATCAAAATTCTTCATTGGCATTCCAAATCAACAGCTTGGTGGGCTGCATGAAATGACAGCAGGCATGTTCAGAATGTAGATAATGTGGTTCTCCAAAGAATAGAGAAAAAAATCATGCAGTTAATGGTCAGACAGAGATGCAAGGCAGAATTGTTGACCAGGGTAGCAATGAAAATATGGAAAAATGCAAAAGAAAATGTTTTGTATTCTTCCTTGCCACTTTTAAAGGAAAAAACTTTTAACTCTTTAAATACATACATAGTTCTTGTAAGGAGGTCAGATACTGAAAAATTAGCTTTAGCCAAAAGCAGAGTTACGTAAAATGTTCTAGCAATTTTAGAGAGGGGACAACCATTTCCTCTACTGACCACCTCGGCATGACGACTTGCACAGTCAAGTATGAATGTCAAGTATGAATCATAGCAGCTGAGATGTCACAAGTTAAATGCATCTATTGGCATATGTGCCCAAACAATGGGCAACAGCCATGTTTAATGGAGTTATATGTTAGATCTCAGTCAAAGTCTCAGGGCTTGGAATTATAAAATGATGGTGTAACCAAGGACTCAGTCATATGTGTAAGTGGCTACGCTAAGCACATATAAGTGAAAAGCTCAGGAAAAAACTCAAAAGCATTCTCCCTGCTCTGCCAAGAAGCAGTGAACAATACCTCTTGAAATAAGGAGAAAACTATATAAATATGCCGCATAATTTCTTGAAGCATGCTGCATAGTATTTATGAAAAAAACTAGGTTGAAAGATGAGAAACTGAAAGTGCCTCATGTTATGCAGATATGCTCAAAAAGTAATTGCATGTCCTTCAGCCTGACCAAATGAGCATGGACCATGTTTCATGGCTAGAGTAAAGTGAACACATGGAAACTAAATCAAGTTCTGAACATCTTGATATGGGCCTAGTTTTCTAAGAGAATGTTCAAGAGGAAGAGGTCTTACAAAGGCATTCCATTCAATCATTCTTGTTTTACCATCTCACTCCTGTAACAGAAGAACCATTAGGTCACTCTCTGAATGATAAAAGGTGACAGACAACTTGCACATGTGAATGTGTCCTGAGACATTTTGTGATGGAGGAGAAAGAGCAAGCATGCTAGTAATCTTTTCAACATATGTAAGGAAAGGGAAACAAAGATAATGAATGACTTGGCATAACACATATGATTATTAGTCTTGGAGGGTAACTGATCAAATAAGGTTCCATGAACCTTAGATCAGTTGACCTTCATCCTTAACTACATGACATAAAATTAGATTTTCAGAACAATAAACTCTTAGCTTGTGGAGGGAACCACTTCAATATTGGTAGAAAAAAAGACTTTTGAACTAGAAATGCATAATTTCATGTCATCATAATACCCTTCATTTTGTGACTTGCCAGTTTCCCAAAGTGCTATGGTAACCTGGGGTAAGCCCACAGGGTAGCAAACAAAAGGTTCTGGTAATTTCCTAATGATCAGCTCTTACTGGGAGAATGGAATGAAAAATTCCTTGTTTAAATTGCATTCTAAGAAATAATTTCTCCTTCCCACAGCAAGTCCTTGAATTTTCTTTTCCTATGTGAACTTCTCTCTCCTTTTCATTGATTCTTTGTTCTTGCTTCTGCACACTCATGAAAAAATGTGAATTTTCCCTCACCTCATTCACATGCCAATTTACATGTCATGTTAATAAAAATGTAAAAAACTGGTAGATCTAATTGATATCAGCAGGCAGCAAAATGCCATGCAAAACATATGACTCCCAGCAATATGAATGAAAAGATGATTTGCAAAAGGACAATTACATGTGATGGTTGTTCAATAAGTTAGTTAGTTCACAACTGCCCATGGACCAAAGTTTTTTCCCCATGAAATACTTAGTCTGATGAATGAGAAAAGATATCCTGAATAATTTGATCTAGTATGTTTTCTTCTTGAGTAACATGGAATCTTGGCCTCTATTGATAGACCATTGGAAAATTGAACCAACCCAGAAAAAGAACTTTTGATTTTGTTGATGCTACTGTCACAACTTAACACCTGCTCAAAACCATGGTGACATGGTACATACACATCACACCTGATAAATTTCTCATTGTCTTAGTATTTGAAGGAAATTCTCATGGGAAAATCAATCTTGATTCCTCAGTGAAATGCTCAATAGAGTTCATCAAGAATATATCTGGAATAAAGAGAGGTAAATTCTTGGGCCATAGGAAGCTGTGAAAGGATTAGGCATGCCAGACACTCCTGTTTCTCTGGGGAAGTTTTAAATCCTATGCTTCCCATAAACAATTATGATTTTTCAATTGATGAATGCGGCAAAATTGCAGCTAGGCAGAATAAGTCTGTTGAAAACTTTCATGATTTTTGCAAGCAAAGATGATCATTCTTCTCAGAAATACCCACTATTCATCAAGGTGAGCCAACACTTGTTCAAGAAGGAATGAATGTTGCTATTCTAATCAAATGCAAGGTCATCAAGCTATAAGCTACAAAGAATGCAGAAAGAATTAACTAAGAATCTAAGATTGAATTTCCTGAAATATGAATAGTTTCTGATTTTTTATTGAATGAATTTGCAACAAAAAAAAAAGGTTGATGCAGCATTGATTGGGAAGTTGAAAAAGCAGCTCAAGTAGGCTGAAAGTAACAATTTTGAGCCAGGTGGCCATCAGCAGTTGCATTATGCATCAAATCAGAATTGAAATAGTCATACCTATTTTTGTGTGAAATTGGCTTCAGAAGACCTCAAAATATTGCTAAATGCATTCACAGTAACAGGACTCCAAATCATATCCCTTCCAGATGAAATGCTTTCAAATTACTCTATGACTGTTGAATTTTTTGTCTGAAGCATCTCAAGAACATAACTAAGTTCCAGTCCAGTGAGTTGACCAGAATTCTCACATGAACTTTTTAGAATAAAGACATTTTCTGGGCTTTCCTCATAGATTGGGGGTTAAATTGGAATGGATTACTAAATAATATTCAACACAGATGCAACTGAAGAAAAGATCAAATGCACCCAAGGAAAGCATGATTCTCTGCATGCCCAAAATGCCTGCTCAAGAGAGCATCACATATATTAGTGCAACTTATTCATAATTGCATTTTTTTAATAGAAAAATCAAGGATCACTAATATGTCCATATGGGAAACAGAACAAACAGAAGCAGAATCAAAAGCCACTGAATGCAGGATCAACTGGTGAGTCTTGGATAAGCAGCACAACATACATGTTTTGATCTAGGGACACTGGAGAAGTCCAGAGAAGCAACAGTTGTCATTATTTTTGAAAGCAATCTGCTTGCTTCATTTCCCAGACTCACTTAGAAAAAAATAACTTATGAGAATAAGACATTTTTATACTGGAAAAGACAGGTGGTCTCCAAGAGGTTTGCTTCACCAATTGGGAACGACAGTCTTGAACGTCCACTTCTGATAATTGTTCACATCAACACATGGAGCCAGATGAAGCTGATTGGTCTGTGGGTGTACAGCCACACACTTCTGTTGCTGCCGATGACGCAAACTCTTTGTTTCCTAGTTGAAGAGAAAGGGAGCATGCCATTTCAGTGGATTATTTGGACTTTCAAGTAAAACACTCTCCTCAAGCAAGGGAATGTAGGTAAAAGATAAGGAAGCACAACTGACCGAATCATACAGCCAGGGTCCATCCACAGTTCCCAGGCGACAAAAAGCTAACTTGATCCCTTGCCTATCTGCTTCTATGCACCTCTCACCAAGTCCAAGCTGGCCTTTTGCATTCAACCGAACCAACTACAAGAAAATGACAGAAACAGATTCTTTAGGGATTTTTTGCAGGCACAAGGAGGGAATGGAAAGAGCTTACAGAATACAATTCATATGAGGAGGATCTGCATCATAGTTTTCCCTTTCTCAAGGAATTCAAAGGTGATTCTGCAGCCTATGATGTCTTTACATAAAGACAATAACCTTCAAGGACTATGGTTTCATATACATCAGTTGAAAGGACCTCATAATTTCCATTATGTCTTTATTGATGTAATGGTAATGACAATTTTCTAATAACTTTCCTCTTTCTTACTTCTCAAATCATCAGCAAGAGATGGTTGAATAGAAAATCCCTCATGCAGGCTTAAATGATGGCTTTTTTTAGGGTAACCCAGTATAGTTTGCTGTAGTCATGACTGGTGAATGTGAATATGCAACTGAACTCTTAGTTTCCTCACTCTAACAAAGGGCAAAAGAGAGTTGAGATAGGTAATAACAAGAAGAATGCCTGTATGAATGAGAATATGAGCCATGAGCAAGAAATCTTGTCCATAATCATGAATTAAAAAGCAGCAGACCTGGTTGTTTCCATATCCATGACATGCAGAAATTCCCATAAGAGTTGGAGGAGAATGCCCCATGCTATCCATGCATAATCCAACAGCTTCATTTCGCAACTGCAAAAGAAGAAACTTCATCCTGTGAGCATTGACAAAAGTCACTAGTTCCATTTCTTAGGTCCCTGTTTTGGTCATGTGTCAGTAGAATTCATTGTAGTGATGCATGTCCTAAGAAACAAAAGGCTGCCAAAACACATTTTTCATCAATCAGTCTGTTTCTACAGTGACGAGTACTGACTGACTATCAACAAAGCTAATCATCTGGCTAAAGGGACCATATCAGTTTACCACTAGTTATTCACATTGCTCACAATCTGACTGAAAGAACTTTTAGGCATAATTGTATCTTTCTACTCTATGATATGTTATAAATTCATTAGCAGGGTACTTTGGCAGTAATTTTAAAACCTTAAATTTGATGTTGTCTTGCCTTTAGCCTGTCACCAGAGGATTACCATTAGGAAAAGACTTAATTATGACATTTAAATGTCAGTCTCATCTTTTCAGAAAAAACACTAAGGCAAATTGTAAACCTTATAAAAAGTATTTAAAAATGCAAGAAAAAGAGGATAGAGCCCACCTCTCCCCAATAGACATTGGGTGGAAGTTCAGGATACTTGAGAGGGAGATCATATGCAACATTCTCCATGAACCACTTGAAGTTTTTACAGCCAAGTTGCTTCTTTAATTCCAGCTGTTCTGTGATGTCTCCCATGTCCAGAAATCTTGCCAAGGGTTCTCGAGTATAGAAGTACTCCTTGTATTCATCATCAAACCAGACTTCTATCACCCTCTTGTTATTCTGAAGAGTAGCAGCAATACACATCCATCAGCAAGATTTGTCAATCACTCATCACACTTAGGAACTTGGCACTGCAAGTGCAAACATGACAAGAGTTGAGAAAGTTGACATTTCTTTATGCTGTGTTCTGGTCATGGGATTTTTCATTGCAGTTATTAGGCCTCAGCTGAGAAGGTAAGGTCTGAACATAAAGATGTGTTTTTGAGTATATGAATTAGAGAGGAAAGAGAATAGTCAGAGTTTCATATCAGACCATGGGCTCTGAACAATGGGGTCTCTTCCCTTTCCAGCCCTTCTTTTAAAAACACATATTTAACATCTTTAATCTTCTTTCTCCTTTGTCAGAAACAACATTATGACACTGTACAGTCAAGAACATCCCAATAAGAATGCAGCTGTACAAAGCATGCTTTTTGGTCAGAAATGAGACAATGTAGGGAACTGTTGAAACCTCTGCAGCCTCAGAAAAGCAGAGTTATACATAAACTTCAATGACTTGTTCTTTATCTAAATGACCTAGAGACTTTAAAGCATTAGGGAAATTTTAGAGTGTTTTCTTTGTGATATAGAACATGATAAACTAACATTTCTAGGGGAGGTATTATAATATGTCAAACAGAACATTTTTTTTGCAGCATTCAGCATACATACATTCCATGGTAACCAACACCATTTCCCTTTCCCAAAAAAGCAAGTGGAGAAAAATTCTGACAGCTTGAAGGTGGACTAGGATTTGTCACTAATAAAGTTGGTCTACCTATTGCCATTTAGAAAAACATTCTCATCAGCCCATCCCTTTTCCCCATGAGGCAGCCATCCTCATGACAAAAAACACTACAACTTATTTTGCAATGTAATTTAATGTAATGACAATAATTTAATGAAGATGTTTAAGGTACAAGTGGCAGGTCTTCAAAAAACCAAAGTCCAGCAATCCCAAGAGTCCCTTAACAATTATCATCCAACTATTGTAAAAATCCTGACAGACGAGGGGCTCCAGGCAGAAGAAAGCTACAAAGGAAAGGATGCAGAATCTCTAGGCTAGATTATTGAAGCCATTTTTACAATACTCAGATGATACTTGACTGGGATTTAGCCGTTAAAAATCATGTGTACTGGAGGCTATGAGAAACAGATGAATCTGAAATTTCAGCAGTCTAGGTCAAAAGGTCTTTGAGATCCCTTGAAAGTTTGAGAGGGAATGGCAGAATGACCCCTCAAACAAATTCAATACCTCCCAAACTACTCAAGCTACAAAGCTGATTAATAGCTCACTTTAAAGCTAATAGCCATGCATCTCCAACTTTTTCTATGGGATTCTCTGGGCTTCCTTCCTAATCCTTAATTACATAAAGTTAAAATTTTATTAAATTCATGCAATGATAAAATTTTAAACCCTAAAAGATTCACAGTGAAAATGCTTTTAATGGTACCAGCTGTGGAGTGTCTTTCATGTTGTACGAGGTTAGTCCAAATATGTATGCACTTAGTCTTTAAGTTGCTTCAAAATTTTGTCATGCGTACTTAAAGTTGCTAATTTCGCCATGTTTGGCCAACTTTGACTTTCAATAACTTTTCTTTGATTCCAAGTGCAGGTATGCTTATTCCATAGAATGATAGACCTCTAAAAGCTCTGGTGAGTCAGATAAGTCTGATTGTGTTATTCTGAAATCCTGAACAATGAAAATTTTTTTTATTGACCACCTTTCGAGTGAGTTTCACCATCAAGCACTTAATTCCACCTTGATCATGTTCGAGCAGGGAAACATATTATACTTGATTTTGTGTGTTTGATACGTCTTGGGAAATACATGCGTACATTTTAAAAACGTTATACTATTTATAATTTCATTGAAATGTAACTTATATCAATAATTAAGAGCTCTAAAACATCAATCAGCTTCTTTAGATTTAGAAAAGATTCTTTAGAAAAAATTAGACCAGGCTTAATTCTGGCTGTAAATCCTCCTTTCTTAAAAATTAGAGCATATGGGAAAAAAGCAAATAAGGCCCAATCTAACTGACAGTTTGATTTGAGCTGTGAATCATTGACAAAATGTGGGATTTGCATTTGATTCCAGATTAACCTCCAAATAATGATTGGTTCAACCCTGAAGTGAATGATACAAATTTGATGCAAGATTCTGGTGTGAGGATACAAAGTTTCAAATCTTTCCTTTTGACAAATCTTATGCCTTTTCACTCTTCCCTCTGGATGCAGGTTAAAACATGCTTTGAACATTACCAGAACAGTATTGCATCTGAACTACTGGAGAGGATTGCACACATGTACCATCCTCTCCATACTAAATGCAGAAAATTGTCTGCAATGGTTCGAATACTGCTTAGAAAAATTGAGGCCTTGGGGTCCAATGGACCCCCCCCCCTGCCTGGATAAGGGTTAAAATTCCACAAAAAAAATTCATTAAATTCTGATTTCAGATTCAGATTAAATCAGAATCTCATAAAGAGTCAGATTCTGATATTTCTGGAATAAGCAGAACCTTAGAAAATTATGGGAATTTAACATAGCTCCAAGATTACCTCCTACTGCTGTTTAATTTCCTGTGCTAAACTCTGAAAGATTTGGGTCCCACACTGAAGGAAAGAAGAAAGGATATCAAACTACCACTAAATCGCACCAAAACCCCATTGTAGAAAGAGTTACCAAGAATATTAACTGATATGTCCAGAATGAAAGGTTTGTAAAGAAGTGACAAACAGAAGTGAGGTCAGACATGTTGCAACAAATGAGATTCTATTCCATTTGTGGCTATTTTTTTATGGTATGAAGAGAAGATATAAAAGACTAATAACGCTGCATCATTCAAAAATGATGAAACTCCAGTAGCAGACCCCACACAAGGTGTGGCACCCTCTAGGAAAATGATTGTAATTTCCCCACAGAAAAAGGATGGAGCATTCCTTTTTTTTAACACTTTATATACTCATCACCAAAAAAAAAATAGCCAAGGAGTTGTTAGATGTTAAACTCTTAACACGTTGTTAGGTGTTTTATCCACAGAGAGTAATTGTGATGAATGTATCAGTTTCGTGCATTAGGCTGATGCATGCATCAAGTTGATGCATGGCAAACATCCCAGTTATCTTAGCTCAATGAAGCACCACAACAACTTGTTGAAATAGTATCCAGAAATCTCATCTCAGCACTGTTTCACAGTGGAACTCTCAACAATGGCCCCGTAGTGAAGCAGCCTGAGGTGCAGAGAAAGGAAATTGGCACCTTCAATAGCACCGCCCTCTTCCCCTATTTCTGTAGCATTTAGCAAGTTTTCTCCAAATTGCTTCATCTCACAATCTTGAAACTTTGCTAGATTTTTCTGCACATCTTTAGGAGCTTTCCTACGATGTTTTATCAATAAAAACCATCTAGGTAACCATTTCAGGCTATTAATAGGACCTCATAGCTGCTATTGAAATTGGATTAATTGGCAAGTTTTCTACATTAATATTAATCCCACAAACTTGAAATTCTAATCTATTTCATAGTATGCTAGGATAAGCTTGCATATCAAATTTCAACAAGATTGCTTGACTCCATCATGGTCATTTTTTTTTTTACCATGAGTATATATATACAGGGTGGCACAAAAGTTGCACCCCATAGGGATTTTGAATAATAATAAGGAAAAGTAATTTCTTTTTTTGTTTACTAAAGTAAATGTTCAAATTTTTGGCCATTAACTTCAAAGCACTTTTCAATTCGATGAATACATGAAGTCTGAACCTGTCTGAACACACTGATGCTGACCACTTACCTGGAAAGGAATATATCTATTTTCTCTATGGGGTGTGACTTTTGCACCACCCTGTATATCATTTTGCAAATATGGTACAGGATCTAGGTTTGCCCATTTTACATCAGTTTCATCAACAGAGGAGAGAATCTGAAGGTCAAATTTTTGTTACATAATTATATGATTGATCATTTCAATTTTTTCATCAGACTATCAGATATTGGCAGCATGCCATATAACTGTACCTCTGCTAATCAAACAATATTTGATTGTCGCTCTTTTGACCATCATTCAGAAACGATCAATAAATCACCATACTTAAAATAATACATTGTGCTCAACTTGACCTTACAACTAGGAAGGGTAAAATACCCAGTGATGGGCCACAGCAGATGAAATTTCCAGCAGCTAAACTTCCACTGCATGGATCCCCATATAGTGACATGGAATAGCAGCATGCAAGCATATATGTCAGTGCAGAGGTGTTCATGCTGAGCATGCTTAGTTCTTTAACCCTTTGGGGTCCAAGTATTTTGAATGTGTCTGCAATGTCATCCCAAGTTTTTTCTATCCTTCATCATGAGGCCAACATGAGGTAACTTGGGCATGGACCCCAACAGGTTAAATTTTCTGGCGCTATGGCCCATCACTGAGTACTGACCCTTAACAGGCCTATCATTGGGTATTTTATCCTACTCCTGTAAAACTTGAGTTATACCTTCACCAATTTCAGCACTACAAACACACACCACTCTGGAAGTCTTTTTTAATTAGCAAAACTTTGTGATAAAGAATGTACAGAAGAAAAAATCTACATTGCAAATGGGATCAACATCAACTAATGTACATTGTGGGTACTCACTATGGTGATAAGTGGACCTTTCTTCTTCTCTGCCAACTTCCCAAAATTATAGGGCATGAAACCCCGATAGATGTGTCCAACTCGTGAACATGGCACCCATTCTATACTTCCTCCACACTGCCAGATCTACATCAGGAAAAGTTCAATCAGGATCAAGCCAGGAAATTACATCAAGGGCCAACTGTAGCAAGACCATTAAATGGAACTGATAGCTCTCTTATTGGATTCAGACTGGTTCCAAAATCTAGGAGTGCAATAGTTCAAAATGCTACAGCAGACTCATTCCTTCTTGGAAAATGGCAAGCCATCAACTTAAAATCAAGTAATATATAAAGGCATTCTAGCTTTGAGCAAAATGAGTCAAAGAATGAGCAAACACCTCTACTTTTAATTCAATTGGATTTTTAAGCACAATTCTTTCAATAGCTGGTGACATCATACCAAGTCAAAGTCCTATATTGTCTGCATTCAAAGTGAATGCATAATAAATTAGGAGACACACCTTGAAGGACAATTCATATTGCTCTCCACCCCAAACAAGAAGTCCAGGATCATATGCTCCCAACTTCAGGAAAAACTCTCGATCGATGGCAAACAATCCTCCAGCATGTGTTGGTGACCTTGAAATGGATATAACACTAGTTAACATTCTCTCAACATTTGGCAAATAGGTTCACACTGAAGCAAGCATAAACTGAAGAAGCTATGGGTCTCAGGAGAGAAGCAGATACAGAATGTGTAATATCTCAAGCCCCAATGAAAATTTATGCAAGAAAATACTAACCACTGACTGGTAGTCACTCATGAAATACTTCTATTGGAAGAATGAAAACTATGATCATAAAGGCAAGGGTGACAAAAGACTTGTTATTCTATGACTGACTAATCAACTGCTACATTGATAAATTTTTTAAATGTGCATAAATGCCATATTATTCAACTCAAGAATTTCTTTACTATCTATTTTTAACATCTTGAATTTTAATAGTATATAGGGCAGTGAATAATTCTGACATCATTTGACAGGTTCTCAAAATGTAAAAATTTTCTTAGCTTTATTCCAGGTACAGAGTAGTGCTACTAGAGCCTTTCATCTCCCTTCTCCCCCCTCCCCACAAGTTATGTCTTCCTTCTCAGGCCAAATTGGTCTTGCAGAAAGTTTTACATCTACTAACATGTCCTGATTGATTTAGTAAGAGGAGTTTTGTTGTGACCTGCAACCTTGACATTGACCGACCACTCCACCTCATGAATCATGAATGGGAAATCAGACCAAGGACAAAAAGTTCATAATATGGTTTTGCCTGTGGCATGCTAACATGGTACAGGTATTACTGAATATTGAGAGCCATTCCACTGATTTTTGCTCAGAAAGAAACTAATTGATCCATAATGCATGTCAGGGGACAGCATTCATGGATGAGGGGATCTTTGCTTGAGTTTCATCTCCACCATGGAGACTTGCCTTTCTTCAGACTAATAATATCTACAGAACTTCTTCCATGGTGAGACTATTTTCTATGTAGATTGGCTCCAAGTTGGGTATGTCAGAGTCCACTGTGGTTAGGTTTAAGAGCTCTTCAAAATGTTTCTTTCCCCTACAAAGTTTTTCTGCCTCAGCAGCCATCTCCTCCTAGTTTCAGAGTTTCATAACCAGTAGAGTAGATTGCCTGACTTGCATTGGGTGTCCAAATCTTAGATGCTTCACCACGACTATGTGTCTGCCCACTTTACACAGCTTGTGAAGCAATTTTTAGCCAAACACCGTATCCCACAAGTGCAACAGCCTCCATATTTACCTGATACGACCCCATGGGACTTTTTTCTCTTTCCTCAACTAAAGAAAACCTTGAAAGGAAGAAGATTTTGTGATGTGGAAGCCATAAAACAAAATGCAAATGAGCAGCTTTTAGTGATTCCACAAATTGCTTATCAGAAGTGCTTCCAACAGTGGCAGAAATGTTGGGAGAAGTGTGTGACTGCAGAAGGAGCACACTTCGAAGTAGATTAAGCCAAAACCCCTGTAAATATCAATAAAATATCTTGCTTCCTAAGGCATCAGTCTTGATACTTTTTGAACAGATCTCATACATCTGGTGTTCATCAGGGAATCTACTTGGCATTACTGCACACCACCCTGATATGCTACATGCCCCAAAATATTGTTACTGCAGTTAAGACACCAGATAAAAATAGATTCCAGTCAGGCTCTACTACACATTTCCATTGGAACTCCAAGGATGTCCTCAATGAATGCCTTTAACTGATCAAGATTAAAGCTTCCTAATATACACATTCCACCCAAGGTAACCCTACAAAGAAAAGATACACAGTCGGGTCTGGTGATAGTGGGGACCTCTTGATGGGTTCATGATGTCTAATCAACTTTCCTGGGAAATGCTGACCCAAAAGATTCTGAATTTGTGACTAGTGAGAAGAAGCATCATCTTGAAAATAAATCTATCATCACCCAAGCTCAGGAGATACATGAATTTCTAGGATGGTAGCTCTGTGTTAGACATTTATCATCTCTTTTTGCATAAAAACTGCAAGGACACCTGCAACTGATGCTACAATACAGTAAGTCCTGGTGATTTCATCCATTTCACACATCTCTTATGGGTCCTTTCTTTAGCCCAGCAGTAGTGATATTGGTTATTAAACCAGTCCATTTATATACAAAAAAATCTCAACAGAGATCACAACCTCAAGATTCCAAAACCTACCTTCCTCAGATTTTGTCAAGACAACCTCACCATTGTAGTCATGTAACTTGGTCACCTTACTCATGGACTGAATGAGGTTTGTAGGTCTTAACTTTTGAACTTACAGGATCTTTTGATTGAAGGGAGTGACATAATAAGTACCTGCAATGCATGATGCCTAAAGATTTTCAATATTTTCCTCATTCTATTTATTGATGCTTGTTCCTGGAAAGGAATTTCAGAAAAAAGCTACATGCACTTCTACAGTACCTTCACTTGCCCAGAGAAACTGACAATTCATAGCAGTTTGGTCATATACTCACTTGTAAGGCTCAGAAATGTACTTGTGCCTCTCAGCTTCCCGTTGTGGTATTTCGGTCTCCTTGTAGAACATTCCCCACTCAAAGATCCCTCTGAAACGCTGATTCCCTTGATAAACAGGCCTGTACTCCAACGTGTCCTTGTCAATACCATCTATGATTGGCACTGTCATTGTTGTCCTGGAACAGATCATTATTGACATACCAAGTATCAGCTACACATGCACCACTTTTGATCTTGGTATTTGCAAATCAGCCCTTTGATGAATAAGTACCACTGTTACAATGAATTATGATGTGAAGTTTTCTTATTATATGTATTTATGTTATTTATGGGGTACCTATGCTCTATTCATGAGAGACTTTTTGGAACAAGATACAAGCATATTTTGTCAATTTTACTAGTGATGACTAAAAAAGAGATAATTACATGTGCCTTGTGCTTTGTAGGGTTCCATGCAAAACATACAAGTGTTGAGCCTGCATGCTTTTGGCCATCACTGACATGCTCTTCCCCACCACCTGGCCATGCTTAACTGCACTCAGCTAACTGCACTTCAAGTGATGGCTTGCCTCTCCACATTTTTAAATGCAAAATTTTACTTTTTAGGAATGAATGGGCTGTTGTAGTACTCCAATGACTGACTACCATCAGCTAATCAGGTAGACAGGTTTTCTTGCACTGGAAGGTGCAATTAGTTGCTACTTCTTTTATATTTCTCCTCCAATCACACCTTTATCCTTCAATGTCATGGTACCATGCAAATGATATAAGAAACCCTTATGAGCACCAGTTTGAGTTTTCAGATGTGGAGTATTTTTTTTTTCAACTTCCTCACAGCTGTCAAGTAGGGTCCCCTTTCATAATTCTGTATCATGCAATTTCTATCCTGTTAAAGCCAAGATGTCTAAGTGCTAGCTGAAGCCAGGACTAATCCTGGCTTCAGCTAGCACTGGATCTGGTTGGAGTCAAGAGGGAACAGCTTAAAATAATGAGAATGAGACTGCAGTGATGGGCATGTGATGCTTGGAACTCAAGCAACCTCTTCCCATTTAATTTCATTTATAAAGTGCAAAACAAGCTGCATCAAATTGTGAGAGAAGCTTTCACTGTTTTCCTTAATTAGTTCAGATTTTTACCTTGCTATCTCATGAGCTGATGCCACAACACTTATTAGTGCTAAGGCATTTTGTTCTATTGGCAATGGTAATAAACTATTTAGGCACTCACAAAATCTACATAGCAGATGACATGAGCAGGGTACCGTTCAACACCATTCAGATGAAATAATGCCTACAAAGCATGGTTTACTTCCCCACAAGGTAATATGCATTTTGATCAGATATGGGCTAATGACTTGTATTTGAAAGTGAGGAAACTAGCCAGATTATCAGATCATTCAGCCATTCTTGCTTACCCCATTAAACTTAATTGTTACAAGTGCAAGAAAAAATGGAAATGCAAGAGTGAGGGATTTAAATCAAGAATGTCTAACATTCCAGATTTCTTCTACAAACTTGGATGTTTTCCTGAATGATGAGAATCCAGTGGATATCATTTCTCAGTATGTGAAGTTCTGTTTCAACCAAACTTGTTCTCTTATGACCACCACCAGCTTTGGCAGAGATTTGTAAAAACAAAAAAACAAAAAAAAAAAACAAACAAGTAAATCAAATATGCACGGAGGAAGAGAAAGATCTTGACAAAAGGGGACTCTGAACCTTTAATGCCTCTGCAATTGACTATTTATTTAGTCCTCAATCAGGACAGTACATTGGCATTGTCAAAACATGAATATGGGGAAATGAAGCCAATGGGAAAGTAGTATGAAGGTCTGGGCTATTAGTTCACTCTGATATGGGGGTTAGCATTTTCTATAGCCTGGAGAGGAGGTTGGAGTCTCCTTTTGCAAGGCAGCCCATCAAGTGGCTGTGGTCACCTGCAGGAGTCTCGCAGAGGTGACAGATGTGGGTGGGTTCAGGATCATGGAATTTTTTACAGTAGCATATTACACAGTGAAACCCATGTTTGGTGAATCTCATGAGATGGTAGTTAGTTTGATTTGCTATCCCAATGCTTTCCATTAATCTTGGCTTCATATTCTGTCCTAACACACCCCTCAAATGGAATATGATTAGATGCTTTGAGTTCTTCACAGAGGGTGGAAGAACCAATCATTTGGTATACCAGGGTAGCAGAGGTGTTATGGGAGAGGCAGTGTCTTTTTTCAGGAAGGCACTTCCCACTTGGTCCAATTCCAGGAGGTGTCAAAGTTTCAGGTGATTACCTCTAGTCCATAAATGAGTAGAGAGGTAAACTTGATGGCAAAAAACTTCAATACACCCTTGATCTCCAGCAAGTGGATGTTGGTGAGAGCACTAATTATTCTCAGCATCACCTGAGCTGAGAATGTAGCATGTATCCATTTATTTGAAAGTTAAGAAGGATGCCAAAATCCATTAACTTAAATTTAAATTATGAACAATATCCAATGAAAAGTTTTGACACTTAAAATGCATAATTCCTTCAAAAAAACCAAGCGAAACTTTGAATGAACCTTGAAAAAACTCTCTACACTAAATTAGCAAGAGAAAGCTTATGCTTTTGCTGCATGAAGGCAACCAATGCAAGGTGTACTGTGAACATGGAATTGATTATGCTCAGAAGAGAAAACAACCTCTAACTGACAGCTATGAAGAAATTAGGCTTTTGTGTGATCTGGGCCCAAAAAAATTTTCCACAATCCATGGCTCAAGAAATTATAAAATTATGAGAAGTCACTCAATGATGCTGATCTGGCTGACTCTGGCTGAAACTCTAAACCCAGAATCATATCTTTTTACTTTCAGGTGCATTCACAATTTAATAGCTATTAGTAACTCTTTAATACAGTCAGAATTCAAGCACATATCCAGATTGTCTAAAATAAGAGAAAACAGTTTCACCTCCTCTGTACAATTATGCTTATTACCTAGATATGAATATGACAAATAATGGCACTAGAAATCACTTCATCAATGATATTTATGACAAAGAAGAGATTTTGAACTTGAATTTGAATGCTAGAAGAAATACTCCTGGGTATATAAGAAACTATCAAATCCTGGAATCTATAGCTTCAAAATCCTCTATCTTATGAACCTCCTCAGACCCAGACAAAATAAAACCCATAGGATTTGGCACATTGTCAAGCAACCCAGGTCTTATGAGGTCAACTGCAAACCAAGAGTGGAAGGATGAGTTGCACAAGCTAACCTGTCCTTGAGAATTGGTGCTAGGAGAGGTGGAAGCCAGTTGAGATTGACTTCACAGTGGGAATCAAGGAAGAGAACAACCTCTCCTCTTGCTTCTTTGGCACCACGGGCCTTGCTCCGGATAAGCCCTTCCCTCTCTACATTTTTCACCAATCGCACCTTCCCATTGAACTGCTTGATGTACTCATTCAAATTCTGCAAGTTGGCTGTGTAAGGAAAGAAAAATTCAAGGATAATTTCATCCTGAAATCTTGAAGAGAAAATAATTGCAGGGCAATATGTTTATTAACTTTATACACATTTCATGAATTCAATTATTCTTGAAGCCAAAGAAGGGCAAATAACTTCTCAGCTTCAGCAAAAATCCTTATGTAATGTGATGTTGACAGAAAGCTGAAGTTTGGTACACAAGTAGTTCTCAGGTAGCTGATTTGAGGAAAATTCCTACTTTTTGGAACATACCCCCCTGTGGGCACAATTGCAGGATGCAATTGCAGGATGGTTTTTTTTCTTCAAAATTTTGTTCATTTCAGCGAAATGGACAGATACAGCAAGTTGACATTTGTTATGTACAGCACCCTGGGGGGTCCTTTTACTTTGGAGGAGGGGGTAACCCATATATTTTTTTATTTCAGCAAAACTGTTGAGTTGCAGTGCAATAGTGATTGTATAATAAAAAAAATTCAATGGGGAATCTTGGGGGAAGCTCTGAATTTTTCTTTATTTATTGCCCACAACCTCAAGCTTGCAGTGATGTCACATAACACGAAGTAATTTTATGAACCTTAGAATGAGAATGGCTCATATCTATGGAGTTTTAATCACTTTAGATGATCTGATTGGCAAATGCACATGTTTCAGATGAATTCTGCATTTACTATTACTACAGTATGGGTCAAAAGTATTGCAACAAAGGAAAAATTAATTTTATTCTCTTCCAAAGAGTGCTATGAACATGTCTCATTTCCCAATGTAATCTCCTTTCATATTGATTACCATCTGCATTCGCTGAGGCATACTGCTTGCTAGGTTTTTGAGAATGCCTGGGTCCAAGTTGGCCCATGCATTTTTCACTTCTTGAATAAGCTGCTCACGGCTTGTGGCATGCTTCATCTTCTTGACCTCCTCCTTGA